CCCCAAAACCCCAAAACCCCAAAACCCCAAAACCCCTATATAATCCCAAACGATTGAAGAAGTAATATAATTTATTTCCAAGATGTCTATAGTCGATAAAGAATATCTTGAATATAAGGACAGGGCAAATTCTAATATTTCTAAGTCTAAGAGGAAAATAGACCAGCTCAAAGAACAACTCGCCTCCATGAGCCTGAATAGTATTAGTCAAATCGCTGATCATCAAGAACCCCAACACCAGAGGTTGAACTCTCGTGGCCAAGGCTTATCCTCCGACCAAAATCCAGCCATTCATGATGGAAGAGTTAGCCATTCTATCTTTCAAGAATCTCCAGTGCGTCAAAAAGAAATGGGGAACACTTACGACAGACAAGAGATGGGCACAGATGAGAAAATGCTAAGAGAAAACTTTGATTTCGAAACCCAAGAGCAGTTCATCACAAATGAGATCAGAGAAGTCACTAGGGATAGGCTTGGTTCTCACTCCCCAGATTATTCAGATAAATTTGAGCAACAAGACAATCCTCCAATTGATCTCTTGGACGAAGAGCAGCTGGTCAGGACCAACACAGTCCCTCTAGAAACCGCTGAGAGGCACTTCGTCCAGGAAGAGGCTAAATCTTTCAAAAATAAGATCTCTTCCACTGTCCAAGCAAAGATAGCCAATAATTCAGAGAATCCTGAACTTACTCTTCTACGCACAAACCTGAAAGATAAAATAGAGACTTGGAGGAGCCTCAAAAATCGAATTCTCGGTGGCTTATCGACTTTCCAAGAGAAACGTGCCGAATATGAAAACATTCAGAACTACTTTAAGAACAGAGTAGTAGAGGCTGGTGAGACAGAGGCCCTCCTAAAGAATGAGCTCAACCAAGTGCGTGAAAGACTCTCCACTATCAAAGTGATAAAGAAACGACAGAAGAAAATGTCCGCCAGAAACAAGAAGAAATGGCTTGAATCCTTAAGGAAGCTCACTCATGATATTGAAAACCTTAAGGTTAAGAAGAAAACTGTAGAGGAGTCTATCTCAAAGATTAGGCAGGAAGCAGAAGATTTGCATACTTTTGAAATGAAGAAATTCAAAGAAGTTCTCGCAGAAACAGAAAGAGCACTTGATAAAATTGAAGGTGAAAGGAAAAGAGATGAAGCCAGGCTTGAAGAACTAGAAGCCTCCCTCTCAGAGCTCCGTCAAGAGTATTCATCGATGGTCGATGCTAAAGCTTTGAAGGAAAAATGAATTCATGAGACTCAACAGAGGATCAAAATGCTAGAGGCTGATATTAGAAATTACGAAAAGGCAAATCCCTTGATTGTTGAAAAATATCAAAGCAAAGCATCTCTCAAGCAGGATCTGGATAATCTCAATGCCAAAATTAAGAAGATGCAGGTCCAAGTTGATTCCATCAACCAAGATAGAGTATATAAGCAGATGAGGGTAGACAAAGAAAATGAGAATATCCAGAAAAACGAAGAAGAAATTGAAAAACTTACTAGCCAAATTGAAGTCCTCAAGACTGAACATGAAGAGAACATCAAGCGCATCGAAGTATATTTCAATAGAAAAAGACGTGAAACTGGAATGGATACTCCTCATGTTTACGTTCATGACCTTGTCAAAAGACTTGACACAATCACCATAGGTGATGAGGTCAGAATCAAAGAAGGAGAAGTTCTCTCAAAAATCAGAGCTTCCTTGCTTGATAATGTGAAAAGAACAATTGGAGTACTCGATGAACAGATTAAAGAAAAATCTATGGATCTTTTACATGTCAGGGAAACTTTAAAAGAGCAAAGCAGGCATCATCAGGAAGAAAATGAGCACTCTAGTAAATTACAGCAAACATTAATCAAGAAATTCAAAATTTTGGTTCATGAGTTTAGAGATTTGAAAATTAAGAAATATAAAACTGAACTGAGGCTAAAGCATAGATCCATAGCAATTGATAAATTCATCTATGAACAGAAATCAAAGATTCCTGAACTTGAAAGAACCATTTACTTTAACCTCAAGTTTCTCCCTACCGATCAAGATATAGTAGATCACATTATAAATGAGCAGCACACAAAGCCTGGTTGAGTAACTCAAGAAGAAGCTCTCCCAGAAACTGTGTTCAGCTTTTACAAACTCATCAAAGCTAGAGAAAGCAAAATTCAGGAGTTATCTGAAAAAAGAAGCAATTGCCACTTCCTCATTCGTGAAAGCAAAGAAATCCTTGAAGGTATCTCCATTGGCAGCAACAGTGAAGAGCTTTATTACCAACGTAAGGCCCAACTCACCGATCTCAAGATTCAGGCAAGTAAGCTCCAGACTAAGTTTGGAGAAGTTTCAGCCACGCTTGAGCTTGAACTTTTCGATATTGGTAACAAGAATTTCAAGACCTACTACAAGAAAAGTCTTCATGACGTTGCACGTAAAATGGACAAAGTCTATGGAACAAAGCCTCTCAATCAGTTCAAAGGCAAGCATAAGAGAGATGTCACTGACTCATCTCACATGCTTGAAGTCAGACGTATCCAGAACTACCAAGCAGCCTTAAGGCTGCTAGATGAGTCTCGGGAACAAGTTGAAAGGCTTGAGGCCGATATTAAGACTCATGTAAGCGAGTCTCTTCAGAACCTCCGCAATAAGATCAGTTGCGAAGAGTCTAAAATCAGCAAGATCAAGAAGCAGTACACTGCAGTTGTGGATGCAGAGAAGCAGCTTCATAAGCACATTAAGGCTGCAATTATGTACAAAGAATTAGAAATAAAGCAGAAGACGCAAAGCTTGTACCTGGAACGTAAGCTCACTCATGTCGAAGAGGAGCTAGAGACAGTGGAAAAAGAAATTCACGAGAACACTTCTCTTCATAACCAAAAGCTTAATGAGACTTTTATCGATGATGGTAATGACACACTCTCGAATAATGAGTCGATGTCTCAGCATGATGCCGAATTAGAGATTGAGCAGGAAGAAGTGGCAATGAAGCAGAAGGAGAGTCAGCTCATTGATGCCATAAGCAAACTCGAAACTGAAATTAGTCCTAATCTCAGAAAAATGAATGCTGAGAGAGACAGCTTGGAAGTCGAGCTTGTCTCTATAAAAGCCAAAGTTGAGACGCAGTATCTGAGATACAATGAAGTAAGGGAGATGATAGACGGACTTAAGGAAGCTATTGAAGGCACTCAACAGGCGGAGCTTCCTCCAAGTGAAATAGGCTCGTTTGATGGACCCAGTGTTAGAGATAAAGTTGATTCTGAAATCGAGCTAATGAGAGAGAACAAAAAATCTGAGGCTTTCCGTTACTCAAAGCATGTTGATATATCCACTGTATTATCATCATCTCAAATCCCAAATAAGCCTCAAGAGACAATTGTTGTTGAAGAAAGCCAGATATTGCCTCCTGCCAAAGCCAGCCAACTTGCTTAATATCCACCAAGCTATCTCAATATTCAATTTGAAAATTTAGCTACGGGGTTTTGGGGTTTTGGGGTTTTGGGGTTTTGGGGTTTTGGGGTTTTGGGG